TACCAATGAATAGTGGGATTGACCATCACATTATAATGCCCCAATAACTGAAAAGGCAAGCATGTTTGGCGGGACAGGGATTCGTACCCTGCGACACTCAGATTGCGTGTCGAGTGTCCTAACCACTTGGCCATGCCGGGCCTTTTAGTGAATGTTACAGATGTTTAGAAATAAGTTGCATGTATTTTCTATTTTGGGGACGACTACTGTTTATTAATCTTTAAGTCTTATAGAGGAGGAGGAAAAATAATTTCAATAAAAGTATGAGGTTTTAAAAGTTTTTCTAATAAGTAGCTGAGTATTGTATTACTATTCATTTATTTTTTGTAAATCAATAAAAATTGCAGTTACTATCTGAGCCAAATGTGGAATGAACAATTAGCATACAGAAAGAAAAATAAATCACCCAATATAGTTTTACTTTTCAATAAAATGAAGTACAAAGGAAAAAACAACACCATGAATAGAAGATTCTTTAAGAAATGCTTTAGCCTTTCTATACCTTTTCAATTTGTGTATAAAGTTAAAACTGTCTACTATACTTGACTTGTAAGGGTGACATCAGATATTTGAAATTGTAATCAGTGTTTCACCAAAAAGTGTTTTTAAGTGTTTTTAGCTATAAATGAGTGCCCATAAGTACAAAAACTTCAAATTTTAAATTCAATTTTACTTTTATAAACAGCTTGTTTTGTGACAATTTTATTTCAACTCCAACATAACATTAGTTAAAAACCTAGTCTTAATGTACTTTTTAGCTACATGTCCATAAACTTAGCAGCAAAAGCTCTACTGATTATTAATATTAATACTTTTAAACTACAAAACTTATAAAATACTGCATTACATGTTATATAAGTTATAAGTTAATAATAAATACCATTACAGTCATTCTAATCTTTCTTCTGTTCTTGATAATAAACAGATTAATAAATTATATTTTGTGGTGTTTATAACTTATTAAAAAAATAACAAATGTACTATTTTTGAAATAACTTTTTCTCTTTAAAATGTCTGTTAAATTTATATATATAAAGAAAATTTATTTTTATAAGTCAAACGTTTTTAATACTCTTACCATGAGCATCAAAACACTGCAGCTCCCACTTGACCTGAGGATCTGTAGAGCTAATTGTAGTGGACAATGTTGCTTCACTGAGTTCTGCTATAAATAGATCTTTACGAAGGTTACGCTGCCACCAAGGGACTCTGTCCATGTCATGTAAGGGACGCAAGTCTGGAATTGGAAACCTGATAATAGTAAAAAAAGAATAATGTTTCATAATTTCATAATATTGTATATGTCAGCTGGTGACTACCCTTAAACCCTAACAGTCTTAATGGTTTCAGATATAAAGTATAAAATGAATGAATTATTGAACTCGTAAGACTTTTGTAGTTTGAGTTAATGGGTAGATAATATGGTGACTAATAATAATTTTTTCAGCCATAACTGAATATAAATCCTTCAAAAATCAGTAATAATACATTATTCAAGTACTTTTTAATATAGGTTCATCAATAGGAATATGGTAATCTGTTTAATAATAAGTGATCTGCCTTAAAATTGGCTAATCAGAATTGGTCTATAATAGTATTTATATATGTATATATATATATATCTAAAGCTGACGTTCCCAGACTGTAGTCTGTGGACTCCCTTCATGTGGTCTGAGGAAAGGATCTATAATTATGGAAGGGAAAAGTATGTAGATCCTGGAGCAAACGTGATACTTGAGACTTTAAAAATTCAGTTATATAAGCAGGAAGAACATGTATAAATTATGTGAAAAAGTTTAAAACTCTAACTTATAAGGCTCTTGAGTTGGAAAATGTATTCTTTACTTGTGAATTTTCATGCATTGTATAATAATGACTTTTCTACTGGTTTCTCTATGAAAGAAGAGCACCTATTTTTTTTTCTTTTGCAGTGAAACATTAATGTAACAATAAAACAAATCCACTATAAGAGTTTTGGATTCAGTGAATTGGTGAGTACACAGACGCACAGACAAAGCTATTGATTTTCTGATATCATTTGTTACTATGTACATATGCAAGACAGGATTTTCATCACATGAAATCTAAATACAGAAACAGGATGAATGCTTATCCTGGCCTGATAGTAAAGCTGACAAACATTAGCAAACTTTGTTCACAAAATCTGGCACGCCAATCACATCAGAACATAGAAACTTAAGTCTGTGGTTAATATTAATATTATAATAGTTTTTATGCACTTACTATGTTTTGTTAGGTTATTCTCTTATTATGTGGCCTGCCAAATCCACCTATGTGGTCCATAAACAAAAACATTTGGGAACCACTGATCTAAATAATTTGCTGATTACAAACAAAAGAAATGATGAATTTTTATCGTTACCAGAACCAAAACGTGAAGAAAAGAGTTGACAGACTAAAATACTGTTTTACAATAAAACATGGAAATAAAAGGAAATAGTTATCTCCTAAGCCTTCACTAGCCAACTACTAGTCACATGACAGTGTCTAGAGTCCCTTATCTTTCTGCTAGGGAATTTCAAGAAAGGTAATAATGAAGTTAACATTCCCTAGTCACATGACAGTGTCTAGAGTCCCTTATCTTTCTGCTAGGGAATTTCAAGAAAGGTAATAATGAAGTTAACATTCCCTTCAAATCTCACAATTTCATGCACATGCATATTCCTTAAGTCAACCAGTGGTCTGTCAATTTCCTGTATCATACCAATATTAGGATCCAATAATAAAAAAAAAGACTCTGGTTTCCCTAATTTAGTAGTGACAGGTTAGAGATAAGGCAACTAGTCAATGCCACCCATTGCCAAATCTTGGGTTACTCTTTTTACCAACAAATAGTGGGATTGACCATCACTTTATAATGCCCCCAAGGCTGAAAAGGCAAGCATGTTAGGTGAAGACGAATTGATCCTGTGACCCACAGATTGAAAGTCAAGTGCCCTAACCACTAGGCCAAACCAATATAACAGGAATTAGTACATTTTACATTGTATTACATCCTGATTGTTACATGTCACATATTCAGCCCAAGTATAATAACACCTAAACTGATCATATTCAGTTTCATTCCTATGATGCTTCACCAGTAGTTACCATTAACAATGCTTGACTGTAAAATGGTTCAATAAATGAGTGTATACTTTCTTCAAATGTGAAAGATATTTGAAAAGTTATCCCACAATTGGACTGGTTGGTTGGTGCTTGTTTTATAGCACAAATCACCAGAGCTATCTATGCCCCTACAAATGGACAAATTAGGCAAATACTACAGTTTTTTATAAAAGTAAACTGCACAAAATATTAGATGTCCCCCCTCAAAAATCAAGCACCCTTGGACCCAAATTTAAAACTATCAAAAAAGAAAATTAAAGGGTTCACACATCTTAGGCATCATAAAAATTTTTGACTTTTCTATGACTGAACATTATTATTTTTCCCATGGCCACTAAAAAAAAAAGTATAAATTCCAACATGTACCTAAAATACAACATAATTTTTCTTTCTGGGTGTCCAAAAATTCTGGAGTCATAGGTGATTTGCAGATTCTATGAATTTCAGATACATGACTGGTTATAGCACTGTCAAAGCATGACAAGGTCGAGTCCCAGCAGAATGTTGTTGCCGAATTTAATGCACGCCAACCAGAGAGAGAGAAAAACATTATTCACAGTGCTGTTGGGAAGTTGCAAGCTAAGTTTAAGGAGACTGGCAGTGTGAACCATTGACAATGAAGTGAATATGCTTCACAGTGTTCAAAGATAATGGAAATACCGTCTCAAACTTGTTTTGAATTAAAGCATATGGAACACATTCTACAACATTCGTTGAAGTGCCTATAGTTCCAGACTTTTCAGACACCCCGTATTTTACTGAACAGTTTATACAATAAAGTTAAGTTCTCTTTTCCTCTAAAATAGTGAGAAACAATAAGTTAAGTTGATTTAATATATTCACACTTTACCTGACCTGGTGTTTCAGTAAATTTGTTACATACCTCAAATAACAAGATAGGTAAGGATCATTAATTTGGCCATGAAAACATAAATTATGATATTCTACATGCAGATGACCAGGCCCACCAATGGGGGCAGAACAAAGGGGGCAACTGCTCAAGGGACAGGGCGAATGAAAGATGGTTATGCCGTAAAAGCCCG